AACTGGGTTTCTCTGCTTTCTTCTAGCTGGATTATCATTTTAAATCCATATTGTATTCCTCTCTCTCTCTCAATCCAGGGCTAAATAGTGATGTGGTTGCGGATGTGGCAATCTTTCCTGATTAAGGTTTGGACTTCCAGCTTTAAGTAGATTATAAATCAAGGTCGGGGAAATGAAGAAAGAGGACAGCAAGCTTGAGGTCAGCTAACAGCCCCCCACACCCTCATTTTCAAGGATCAGGGCTCAGCCTCTTCAGGTATCTCCTGGGTCCCACACCTAAGCAAGGGGTCCACTGCTGACCCCCAGCCTGCTGCCCCATAAGTTGCCCCCAACTGCCCTCGCTTGTACTTGCAACCAGTTCAGGAGTGGCACCAGTTGTCAGCCTCCTCCGCTGCCGCCTTAGTTGCAACGTTTCCCCTTGGAAAACTCAGTAAAAGAGGCAGATAACAGAAAAACTGGTATTTGATGACTCCGTCTATCGTGGGCTCTGGCTCCCCCTACTGTTGGACTCCTCACCTTCTGTCCTACCAGCCACCGGCTGTAAAAACAACTCCTCTCTGCCGTTCAATTCATTTACATAAATATAAGTCATCTCCACTAGGTGGCACTGTACTGGAAAGCCAGGAAGCTGGCCTGTTATTGGCTCTCGATCTGCCTGTCATTGGCTCTGGCTCTGGCTCTGCCCATCCCTAGACCTCCCTGCTTTCTGCCCTACCTGTCTCAATGAACATCACTTGGTTGTGCTTCTCCTCCCTGAGCAGCAACAAGTAGACTCGACTTGCTCTTTCTGGGCAGTAAACTGATAGGGCCCAGAGAGAGAGAGAGAGAGAGAGAGAGAGAGAGAGAGAGAGAGAGAGAGAGATTAAGGAGAAGACCAACCAATGGCATCTCTGCCCAAAGGCCCTCCAAAATCCAGAGCAGACGATGCAATCAGTAGCTTGCATGAGAGGGAGGGAAACCAGTGGAGGCTAGTCCATTAGGGTGAATGGGGGAACTGCCCCACCAACCTCAATCTGCCTCCACCCGCTTGCCTTCTTACTCGCTACTGACCACTGCACCGTATGGCAAGCTGTGACACTGCAGCTTCTCAGGAAATAACATTCTGGACTGACTCTGTGGTGTAGTGGTTAAGAGCAGTGGACTCGTAATCTGGTGAACCGGGTTCGCGTCTCCGCTCCTCCACATGCAGCTGCTGGGTGACCTTGGGCCAGTCACACTTCTCTGAAGTCTCTCAGCCCCACTCACCTCACAGAGTGTTTGTTGTGGGGGAGGAAGGGAAAGGAGAGTGTGAGCCGCTTTGAGACTCCCTAGGGTGGTGATAAAGCGGGATATCAAATCCAAACTCTTCTTCTTCTTCTCTGCACTGGCCATGGGCTATTAGGAAGGAGCGTTAAGAATAGCGTTACCAGATGTCCCCGGTTCCCGGGGACAGTCCCCGGATTTGCAGATCTGTCCCCGGACAAATTCCGTCCCCGGAATGTGCCCCGATTTGCAAATCTGTCCGCAGGAAACGTGGCAGCGGCAGCCTCAGCAGCCTGGAGTCAGCCTGGTAGCGCAGTTGGCTCTGGCTGGCTTCAAGAGCTGCTCGCTGCTCGCTGCCCGTGGCACCCGCCATTTCTCCTTGCTGGAACTTCCAGGGAGGAAAAATGGCGGGCGCCACGGCAGGGAGCAGCTCCTGAAGCCAGCCAGAGCCAGCTGCACTACCAGGCTGGCTCCTGGCTGCTGACTGCCGCTGCCGCCACCACTGCTGAAGGGGAACCGGGGACGTCTGGCGGTACAGATCTTCTGCCCCCTCCCCCCTTTGTTTTGACTGATTGGAGGAGGCTCTGGAGTTGCAGGTGGGCACCTGTTGCCCAGTTTTAAAAGAACTCTGTGCATTTAGGTTTCACAGGGTGCAAAAGAAGGGCTTTGCACCTTGCCTGGCAGAGAAACCGTGCGCCTTGCGCCCCTCCTGGGCAACGGCCGCCCACCCCCGACTCCTGAGCTTCCCCTGGTCTGTCAAAACAAAGGGGGGAGCGGGCAGGAGATCGGGGGAGGCTCGGGAGTCACAAGCGCATGGCGCGCCGTTGCCCGGTTTTTTAAAAACTGCACTTTTATGTTTCACAGGGTGCGAAGGAAGGGCTTTGCACCTTTATACAATATGCATGTGTGCTTGGGTCCAGGGTCTTTTGCCTCACCATCCCCACTACTGACTCCCTGTTGCTACTCAGCTTCAAAAAAAAGTGTCCCGGATTCCTTGAAAAAAAATATGGTAATTTAAGAAGGCTTCTTGTCTCAGGGACAGTTTGCTCTGGTGTCTGGTCTTGCTCACCAGCCCTAACTTCCTGGCTCATTCTAGACTCCTGCCAGTGGTTAGATGGTTCATTAGGGCAAGTGGGGCACTCGGCCAGCTCCCACCCGCCTGCCTCCTGACTTGTATCCAGTCGAAGAAGGGCTCTTGTCTGCCTGCTTTCTCATTCTTCTCCTGAGTGTTGCTTTGTGTAGAACTCAGCAGGGAGGAAGGTGGGGGGCAAAACCAGCATTATTTGGCTCTGGCGCCACCTACTGTTGGGCTCCTTGCCTTCTGCCCTACCAGATGCAATAGGCCCGGATTGCTATGCCAATGAACCAGCCTTCTTAATGTCACACCAGGAAGCGGAGCTTGAAGGCCAAGCTGGAAGGCAGGACAAACCAGGACGGTGGAGTTGGCCAGCACTCAAGAAGACCACGTTGCTCAGGCCAGACTCGGCTGCAACAGGCAGCCTTTCATACACCTTCCTGCCCAGAAGTAGCCAATAGTCGTCCTCAGTGGGTAGAGTCATTCCAGGGCCCAAAGGTATTTCGCCAAGAAGAGTGTGGCCTACAGTTCAGTGGCTGGACGCCTGAGGGAGCTGTTTACAAACTGAGCGGCTCCTGCCAGGTCCCATTTATTCAAAGGAATTTGACCCTCCAGGTACTTGAAGTCGTATGAGATACAAGCTGGGCCTGGGGTGCATGGAGAGAGTGGGGTATTTGCTAGCCGTGGCTGCAGAATTCCCAAGGCTCTCTTGGCACCAGGCCTGCCTGGTGTGGCTCTGTTTACTTGTGCAGGGATCAGCAGCGATTAAAGGGCTTCTTTTTAATTTGATTAGGTCAGATTAACAGAGAATCTGAGCTGATGATGAGGGGCAGGGGGGCGGGGCAGGGAGGGACAGGCTAGGCTGACCAACCTTCCCCAAGTCACCCATGAGCTTCCAGCTCTCAAAAAAACAAAAAGAGCAAAGGAAACCCAGCCAATCAGGGAACACACTCCACCCAAAAGGAACCCCTGAGGTTGCAGTTCTAAAAAATGACTGGGGTCTGCCTTTCCTTTGTCCCTTGTCTAGCTCAAAGCCCTAAACGGCCTCGGTCCAGTATATCTGAAGGAGCGTCTCCACCCCCATCGTTCTACCCGGACACTGAGGTCCAGCACCGAGGGCCTTCTGGCGGTTCCCTCACTGCGAGAAGCCAAGTTACAGGGAACCAGGCAGAGGGCCTTCCCGGTAGTGGCACCTGCCCTGTGGAACACCCTCCCACCAGATGTGAAAGAGAACAACAACTACCAGACTTTTAGAAGACATCTGAGGGCAACCCTGTTTAGGGAAGCTTTTAATGTTTGATGTATTACAGTATTTTAATATTTTTTGGGAAGCCGCCCAGAGTGGCTGGGGAAGCCCAGCCAGATGGGCGGGGTATAAATAATAAATTATTCTTGTTATTATTATTATTGTCATTGGCTCTGGCACCACCTGCTGTTGGCTCCCTGCCTTTTGCCCTACCAGTTCAGATGGGCAATAGCTGCCACTGTTCTCCTGCTCTTGCATGCATTTGCGTGGACTCAGATCACAGAACTGTAGTTGGAAAGGACCACGAGGATCATCTTCTAGGACAACCCCACATCTTCTAGTACAATGCCGCAATCTTTCGCCCAGCCTGGGTCTCAAACCCACGACCCTGAGATTAAGAGTCTCGTGGCTCAGCCGACTGAGCTATCCCAGGGACTTGTAACGGAGCACAACGCCCCTCCTTTTCTGAGTGGGAGCCAACAATGCTTTTTCCATCTGCACAAGCTCACACAGACACACAGAGAGGCCCGGAGTTGGTGGTAGTCCCAACCAAAGACTGGGAGGCCACCACTGGTTGGAGGGAAGGATTAATGGGTGCGCTTCTGGGATTGATTAAAGAAGGTTTAGATGGGATTACGGGATCATGGCAGATCAGGGACAGATTGGCAATCAGGGAAGGAAGGGCGGGGGGGGGGAGACTTTGTCTCCTGCTTCCGTGTGCAGAAAGATCAAACGAAGCATCTCTTGAAAGAGGAGAGAATGCTTGCCCATGAGGGGCTGGAAGAGGGTGGGTGTTTGTTTGTTTGTTTATGGGTGTATGTTTGCCAGGTTGGCCTCGAAGAGGATTTCCGTACGACTTTATCCTAACAGACCATTTTGCATAATACACAGCACATTTTCCTCCAACATTTATATTTTTTGCTTAACAGGAGTGCAAAAGGCAGAGTGCAAAATTCAGAGGGGTGCAAATTTGAGCACAAAACTCCGAGCGCAATGTTCAGAGGGGTGCAAATTTCGAAAGATGGCTGCTGTGTGTTCCGCTTTGTGCATTGTTTCAGAAAGTGTGCGTTTAGTAGATTTGCCTTCAAATGTGAACTGAATCGGGCTTCTCCCTACCCCAACACCTGCCTCTCCCCAGCTTCCATGCTGAGAAGCAAAAGGCACGATCCGAGTTCCCATTTCAGGCAGGCAAAAGCACTCGGGGTGTAATGTAAGGCCAGTGAGGGGTGTGACCTGTGGACACTTACAAGGGCCAGGTAGAGAGGGCTGGAGGGCCGCATGCCCTCTGCCACCAAGGTCTGAGGTTCTGCCACCACTAAGTGGCTTAAACACTAAGACACCTGCAGCACTTGCAGCCAAGTATTTCTTAGAGGTGCCTCATCCGCCGAGGTCTCTAGATCTTAGGAACAGTCGACAACAGACTGAAGGACAATAGCGTTTCCCCAAATAGATCTTTAACTGAAGATGAAGCACCCACTTGGCTTTTAGAGGAGCAGAGGGTTGGTGCACAGTCAGCCGAAACAGCAGGCAGAGAACAGACATCGCTCATATATAGGAAAGCAAGAAGCAGCTTGTATGACCTGCAAGTAACCCTTGCCAGAAGCACAGGGACTTTATAGGCATGTCCCCATTTTTCAGCTGTGAAATGTAGGGCACGAGCATCTCTCTTGATGGGGATTTTTTGGGAGGTGGAGTGCCTCTCCCTGTGCTTACGGAACTTGCTGCACCCTCATGATGTTGGTATAACCTGCTCCAGGCCGCCAGCCCGTAACCACGATGACCAAGTCCTCGGACCGCAGGAAACCTCGCACCCGGCCTGGGAAGGGAGAGCGGAAAACGGGATCAGGAAAAGGAAGAAGGGGGTAAGGAGAGACAGAAGTCCCGTTGCGAAACTGTGGGGAAGGCAAGGCAGTCATCCTCTTCCAGATCATGTGAGCGCTGGATGTTCCTGTGAGACAGAGCTGGGATGTGTGTGTGTTGTTTTTTGACCCAAAGGTTCCACACTCTAGGGGAGAGGGTGATCTAACAGGGTTGCTGTCTCGGGCTGGCTGGATGCAGAGGAGCTGAGGAACCCCCCCAAGGGAACCCCCAAGGGAAGAAGGCTCAGAGCCAAAGGAGTGTTGCTGGGATGGCGATGACTGGCCAGAGGGAGCAGGCTGGGAGGAGGAAGTGTCCAAAGATGAAGAGGGAACGGGGTTTAGTGAGCAGGAAGATGCACTGGCAGAGAGCGGTTCAGACTCAGAGGTAGAAGCAGAGGCTGGAGAGGAGGGGGTGGCCAGGCTGCTGAAGAAGCCAGGGAGTCTCCCCCTCCTGCTGTGTGACCAGCTCCCTTTCTGCCTGGTCTCCCAGAACCAGAAGAGGCATGAAGAGGGTGAAGCAAAGAGAGACAAGACAGTGGAGTCTTAGGCTGCTGGGAAAGGAACCAGGAGAGGGGAAGTCTTAGGGAGCAGTGGGCAGACGGTGACCTTTGGTCCTCTCAACTGCCTCATTGGGGCAAGATCTACTGGGGTGGGTTGCTGTGACCACTAGGCCTGTACTTTTTCTTTGAATAAAGAGTTAACTTCACTGACGTCAGGTGTTTTGTTACTGAGCTAATCCTGACTCCGGCTCCTGACGGTCTCATTGCATACTGGAGAAGAATGGAATGGAAAGTGAGTGGGTGGGTTTGCCCATAGCACGATTCCACAGCACTGTGTGTTTGTGTGTGCATGCCACCCTCTGCCACTGTCCAAAGGCCCCCTGACGTTAGACTGGGGGCTGTATTGAGGCCACAGATTTCCCACCGCTTCCTGAAGGAGCTGTCCTCTCAAACACACCCTTCTTGCATAAGCAAGGAGTGAGTTAGGGCCGCTGCCTTTCGCTGAGGCCCTCGAAGGGGCATGCATGAGAAGCTGCCATTAAACAGGCGTCGCATTTCCTGGCGAGAAGTTGCAGCGTCAAGAGGGTCTTGCACCATTTGGATATCTGCCTGCAACAGAGCAGGTAAAAGGCCCAGGAGCCCAGCCAGGGAGAAGAAAAGATGGCAGATCCTTGGGCAGGATAGGGTGCTACAGACTCACCGATCTCGATGCCAAACTGCACTCGGCGATCAACATCGTCCGCCCACACCTCCTGGGTGGCCCCACGCCACAGGACTGGGAAGATACCACGGCTGAGGTGGGCCTGGCGGGCCACCTGCTCATCGCGGGTCACGGCAATGATGAGGGCCCGGGGACGGTAGCGGGACAGCAGCTGAGCAGACCTGAGTTGAGGAAGGGAGCAGGCGGAAGGGTGAGGCAGCAAATCTGGGAGTATTCACGGTGCAGACTCCTTATATCTGTCATTACCAACATTCAGGGTTCCTGAGTGGTCTTCACAGTTATGCTTCTACGACCAGCTATGTGATGGCCTGGGAATCCGATTCAGAGGATGAACCGGAGGAATCCCAGCCTGCACAGGAGTCCCCGCCTCCAGGGCCGGCTGAACTGGGGCAGGGCCTTGATTCTGAGGAGCCTGCACCTGTGCCGGATCCTCAGGAGCAGGCACCAGGTGAATCCATTCTGGCTCCGGACGTAGTTGAGGACTCAGGGCCTACAGGAGAGTCTCCCCCTGGGCCCAGTAACCCTTCAGCCTCTCCTGAACTGCAGAGGCTCAGGACAGAGAGGCGAAGGGAACTGGTTTCTCCCAGGAGGAGTGCTCGCCTTAAGGCCAGGAGAGGCGGGTCTCCTGGGGGCCGGGACCGCCCCTGGCCTCAGAGAAGATAAAGGCCAGTTAGCCCAGTCCCAGGTTGTGGGAGCAACGTCGTAGTTGAGTACCTGCTCCTGTCCGGACCCAGACCTGACCCTCCAGTGTTCCTGTCCCCGCTCGGCTTCCTGCTTCGGGCCTCGCCCCACTCCTTGTGAACTGTTTTCAGGCCAGTGACCCAGGACCGGAACTTCGACTACGTCAACGGTAACCTTCCCCCCGGGACCAGCACAAGCTACCTTTTTCAGACTGAGGGCCACATTGCCTTCTGGATGACTTTTCAAGGGCCACCTATCATTCGTCCCTACCTGAAGGTCCAGCGCCGAGGGCCTTCTGGCGGTTCCCTCATGGCGAGAAGTGAGGTTACAGGGAACCAGGCGGAGGGCCTTCTGGGTAGTGGAACGTCCACCCGTCAAATGTCAAGGAGATAAACAACTACACGACTTTGAGAAGACATCTGAAGGCAGCCCTTCTTCAGGAAGCTTTTAATGTCTGATATTTTATTACGTTTTTATATTTTTCCAGAAGCTACCCATAGCGGCTGGGGCAACCAGGCCCAGACAGAGAGGGGGCCATATGGGTCACTTGGCCCAGGCCTCCGATTCCAAAGGGGGCCTCGATTAGCATATTCACAATTGCAGGGGATGCACTGGGGTGAACACGGAGGCGCAAAGGCAGCGGCGGCAGTGGGCGGATTCCCTGGGGCCACGGCTGGCAGCACGAGAGAAAAGCTTCCCCGGCGTCCAGGGCGGGGCCTGCGATTGGCTCCACAGAGGAGCGCGGTATGGGGGGGCACATTATCTACCTGGCCCGGGCCTCTGCCTGGGGGCAACCCAGTCAATATGGGCGGCATATAAATAATAAAATTATTATATTATTTGGCCAGGGCAGAGGCAAAAGTGGGTGGAACAACAGGGTGGTTTTAACTATCGGTCCCTCTTCACTGCAAACTCTGGAAATTGCAGCTCTGTGAAGGGACTGGGGGTCTCCTAACACCTCTCAGCCCTCTTCAAGTACAGCTCCCAGAATCCTCTGGGGGAAGCAATGACTGTTTAAATTTATGGTGTGAATGTGCCATAAGTCTATACAGAGTAGACCCACTTACATGAGTGGATCTATTTTAGCCATGTCTATTAACTTCAGTAGGTCTACTCCAAGAAGGAACACCAGGGCTGGATCTACACGGGCCTGTTTAACGTTATTAGAACGATATTAGATATATCGTTCTGAAACGTCACTGGGCAGACTTGTAAAATAAAGCGTTTCTTACCTCCGTCAAAACACACTTTGCTTAGTGCTAGTTGTGGGTGCTCTGCAGCGGCCTTGGGTGTCGCATTTTAATAACATAATTATGAATGTTAAAAGCAGAACGTCATGTGGCCACATGGTTATCAAAGCCATTCCTTAACCCTTCCTTAACGTTAAACACCATGAGTGTAGATCTGACCCAGGTCCCCATCTCTGCATTAAGGCGATGGGATTCAGGTTGTACAACTGGCTGCTTGACAGACAGGTTGGGGTCCCAGCCACTTTGAGCATCCCACCCTTGACCTCACCTGCCGGATGTCGTGAGGACGATAATGGCAGCTGCGCAGCACTTGAAGGAAGCCTCCACAGCGCCAATGGCTGTCACCTCTGTGGGGTCCTGGCTCAGCGGAGTCAGGCGGCGCAGCTCTTGAAAGAGCTGGTGGTGATACATGGCGGCCTCAGCCTCTCGAGCAATCTGTGCAGGAGGGACATTGACATTAATGCTGGCCCAATACTGTCTGCTCTGGCAGGCAGCATCTCAAGAGGAAGATATTCCCCATCGCTCACTGCTGGGGATGGGAGGATTTGTCCATTTCAACACTCTTCATTTCGGTTTCCCCCCCAATCATACATTTTGCAGAAATTTGCAGTTTGTTTATTTTTCACACCCCACATAAAAATTCATCAGCAGACACATTTGTTGTGCAGTTTTGACTATTGCACACCTTTTGGCAAGCCATTTCCCCATACCTAATGCATTCTTGTCTGTTATTTTCCTGAGTCTCTCCCCTCTGGTGCACACCTCCCACTAAATCATGCATTTTTGTAAACACTGCCTGGGGAAGAGAACCGCATCAAGAAATTCGGAGAAATGTGAATTTTCAAGGATGGCTGTGCATCTGGTTTGCATATTGTTTCAAAAACTACAGGTTTAAATGCACACTGTACCAAACTGCTCCCTCATCCCTCAACCTTTGAAAACTGGAGATGACAGAAGTTGATCCTGGTACCTTTGGCAGACCAAATGCAGAGCAGGTGATCTACCCTTTGAGCTATTACCCCATAGTGAACATCGGGTGTCACATAACTTCCTTGCAAGGTTTATGAAAACAAAGAAGGATGAACACTCGATGGACAGGTTGCTTTGAGCTGCCTTAGGCACATTATTATTGTATTATTATTATTATTATTATTATTATTATTATTATTTTGCAGATATAACAAAGAAAAAATAAGCAACATCGGCTTATCTTAACATTCTGAATCATACACCAATCCACACATGCACACTACTACATACAGGCAACAGCCAATCGATGTGCATCCGATTGATGTCCAAACATGTACACACACTTCACGGAGATCTGGAAATGGCCGGAAAAGAGGGTGGAACAGGATGGAATGGATTTATGCATGCTCCACCATCATGCGTGATGACCCAGAACACAACCCCCGTACATATGCAGTCCATCAGTCCGCACTGATATCCAAATAAGATTGATGATTATAAGACATAAGTTCAAACGTGGAAGGGGCAGCAGTTGATTCAGACTACAGAGTAATGGGTGGGGGCCGTTTATCCTTCCAAGTTCAAGTGTAGGGGAATCACAGAGCAGGGCCTGGCTGGCTGGCTGGAACCCTGAACAGGAGCACACTCCACACTGCAATATTTTGTTGCAGATCTTGCTTACCACAACCGCTAATTCTTAGTAGATTCTGGTGTTGTTTATTGTTCTGTCATGCTCCCAGCCAGCCAGCCAGCCAGCCACCCATATATATATGGGGAGAGGTAATTGAAAGGAAGAACCGGATACATACCGCATGCTGCATCCGCACAGCTTCCACAGGATACGCCCCCTTGGCGGTTTCCCCAGACAGCATGATGCAGTCAGCTCCATCCAAAACTGCATTGGCCACATCGCTGGTCTCTGCCCTTGTGGGGCGGGGCTTCTTGATCATGCTCTCCAACATCTGCCAGGGAGAGAGGAAGGAGACTGTAAGTGTGTCCCTTTTCACAGGTCCCTTCACTATAAGTGCTCGTTCTAACATAGCTAATTTTATTTCTATTTTGATTTTTTTAAAAGTTGTGCCAACTTTGCATTTATCAGTATTTTTTTAATGAATAAGAACATAAGAAGAACCTGGCTGCAGGATTAGGCATGTTCAGCATCCTCTCTTTTTTGTAAAGTGGTTGGATGAGGCTGATGACCCATTGTGAGATAACCAAGCCTCATCTAACCAGCATGCTTAAGTCTAATTGATGCATGTAGGGGTTAAGACCATAGAGTAAGCTGTCCCGGCATGCTTAGCAAACTTTGGGAGGAACTAGATAACCAAGCTTTTGTTCCCCTCCAGTCCACCCGAGAAGCTCAGCGCGTCAAGAGGTCTGAGCTGGTTGCTCCAAGCTCAGACCACATGGCTCTCACAAGCCATTCTCAATTTCCTATACCAATAATTTAGGAACTTTAACCACTTTGTAACAGCTACGCTTTAGTGCCTGTGCAACCTATTCTGAAGCACATGAATCCGACCTCTGGAAAGTTGGTAAGTAAGCCATTTTTAAAACTTTCCAAGCGTGGGGAATCAGGAAATCACAAGTGTATATTTTAGAGGTCCAACAGCCTATATTTTCACACTTTACTTTGCTGCATATTTTGCAGTTTTAAATCTGTGCTGGGGTTCTCTAACCGAACAGGACTTGCCCCAAACTTGGATCTTGGCACCCAGGAATTCTCATTTCTCCCTATTTTTCCCTTGCAACCAATACTAGTCCAGCATCCTGTTCTCACAAAAGCCAACAAGATGTCTTTGGGAATCCTTCTTCCGCCACTTGTGATTCCCAGCATGCTGCCTCCAACAGTGGAGGTGAGGTGTAAGGACCAAAGATGGTGCTGGATCAAGCCAATGGCCCATCTAGTCCTCATCCCTTTTTTTAAAGAATATTGAGAGCCAAAGTGAGAAGTGGTCCACTTTAAACTGCTCTTTTCTAATGGATAGAAAAGATGGTATCTGACTGAACTCCCTGTGGGTACTGCCTTGTGAGGCAGCTGATTTAGACATGGAGACCCCATGTTCAGAGGCAGTCTACCCCCAGTTCCCCTGCTCTCAGCAGCTCACCTGAGTGGCACAGATCACAGGCTTCCCTGCACGGTTACATCGCCCAATCATCATCTTTTGAGCCAGGAAAACCTTCTCGCTGGGGATCTCAATGCCCAGGTCTCCACGTGCCACCATGATGCCATCGCTGGCTTCCAGGATCTCGTCAAACCTGCCAGGAAGCAGGAGAGGTTGCAATGAGGCCAAATAGAAGCGATAGCAGGGGTTATGCAAGGAGGGCTCTCCTGCATGGAGAAATCTAGCTTCTCTCATAGTTGCACCATCAAGTAGGTCCTGAATATTCAGATTCAGACCACTGGGGGATGTTTTATGTCAGGGTGTTTTTATGCCAGGCCCCAGATCCCCCCCTCCCCATTTAAAAAAATTGCTTGCAGGTGCTGCACGCCCAAGTGCTCAAGGTTTTCTACAAAGTCTAGGGGGACATGAGGACTAGGAACGTGCTCCCTTTATGTAAAATGAAAGCTGCTAATTCACAGGATGGCAGATGCGATACCAGATAGCAACCTTTGTGTTGGTTTGATTGATTTATGGATCTGTAAAGGTAAAGGTAAAGGGACCCCTGACCATTAGGTCCAGTCACGGACGACTCTGGGGTTGCAGCGCTCATCTCGTGAGGGAGCCGGCGTACAGCTTCCGGGTCATGTGGCCAGCATGACTAAGCCGCTTCTGGCGAACCAGAGCAGCGCACGGAAACGCCGTTTACCTTCCCACCGGAGTGGTACCTATTTATCTACTTGCACTTTGACGTGCTTTTGAACTGCTAGGTTGGCAGGAGCAAGGACCGAGCAACGGGAACTCACCCCGTCACGGGGATTTGAACCGCCGACCTTCTGATTGGCAAGTCCTAGGCTCTGTGGTTTAACCCACAGTGCCACCCACGTCCCATGGATCTGTAGAGAGGAATATAAATCTACATTGTTATGCTTAAACCCTGAGAATAAGGAATACTTCACCTCTTAACAAAAATGTCCCATGTGCTATGTATTTTTAAAGTGATGATTGATCCAAGAAAGCAGGTTAATCACCTCTTCTCCCGACGCACCACAGACGGCTTTATCCTGCTAGCCTAAAATACGCTGAAAATTGGCTTGGAGGCAGAAATCTAACCCATGAGACTGTCTATGGCAGGGGTGTGGAGCCCCTTTTGGCCCAAGGGCCACATTCCCTTCCTGGTGTTCTTCTTAGGGCCACATTCCAGTGGTGGGCGGGGCCAGAAGCAAAAGTGGGCGGAGCAACAAATGTTTAATCCCACATCCTTTTCTACTTTCTATCCAGGCAAGCCAGAAACAGTATCAGAGTCCAAGGGCAATTTTCAGCCAGGCAAAATCACCCAAGGAGGGAACATAGCAGAGCAAGTGAGGGGATGTGGCCTGAGGAGAGTCTTAAGGACCAGATACAGAGGCCTGGAGGGCTGCACCTCCAGTCTACGGGGCCAGGAAAACGTAGAAGCTGGAAATTACTTTTTGACTCCCTCGTGGTTTTCGATCTTGCTGATGATCTTGATGTTGCGGCCCTGCTCTCCCAGAACCTTCCGGATGGCAGCCACGTCGCTGGCCTTGCGGATGAAGGAGGCGAAAACGATGTCGACGCCCTGCTGCAAGCCGAACTGCAGGTCCTGGATGTCCCGCTGGGAGACCGCCGGCAGGTCCACCTCGGTCCCCGGCAGATTCACCCCCTTGTGGCTGCACAGCACCCCACCATTCTCCACCTCTGTGATGCAGCCGTTGGGGCCTGTGAGACAGGGTCAGACAAAGCATGGGGAGGAGAAGGCTCATACCAGGACTGAATAAATCACTCATTCTCTGTATCATGACCCATAACCAGTAGTCCAAAAGAAACTCGGTACGAAGACCTACATTGGCTCCCAGTACGTTTCCAAGCACAATTCAAAGTGTTGGTGCTGACATTTAAAGCCCTAAACGGCCTCAGCCCAGTATACCTGAAGGAGCGTCTCCACCCCCATCGTCCAGCCTGGACACTGAGATCCAGCACCGAGGGCCTTCTGGCAGTTCCCTCGCTGCGAGAAGCCAAGTTACAGGGAACCAGACAGAGGGCCTTCTCGGTAGTGGCACCCGCCCTGTGGAATACCCTCCCATCAGATATCAAGGAAATAAACAACTATCTGACTTTTAGAAGACATCTGAAGGCAGCCCTGTTTAGGGAAGTTATTAATGTTTGATGCTTTATTGTGTTTTTAATATCCTGTTGGAAGTCGCCCACAGCGGCTGGGGAGGCCTGGCCAGATGGATGGGATATAAGTAATAAATTACTACTACTACTACTACTACTATTTAAAACAATGCTGAACAGAGAACCATAACACACTCCCTGCTTCTGTTGGCCCCAAAAACGGAAGTTTTGCCAATTTATTGAAATTCCCCCTGGATGCTGTTTGAATTCCGGACGTTACGGGGAAACTCCGAAAGTATGGCAACCCTAACTTGATGCAACCACCTCAATTGCTGTTTCTGGGAACAAGGATCTGTTGCCCAGTAGCCACTATATCGGAGGTGTCCAAACTTTTTTCATAGAGGGCCAGATTTGATGAAGTGAAGGGCCGTGAGGGCCAACCAAACGGCCAACCAAAGTTGTTGAGGTTTGAAGTTGAGCTTTTTTTTAGGGTTGAAGTTGTTGAGGGTTTTTTTTACCCCAGCAAATAAACTGCCACAGGGGCTGGATTAAACCGACCAGCAGGCCGGATTAGGCCCCTGAAATGGACAGTGGACATACCCCCAGGCCTTATCAGGGAGGGTGCTGTCCAGGGTGCTGAATTAGCAGGAGTGGCCAGCAGAGACAGGTGCTACTGCACACCTGGCCTCCTGGGAAGGAGAGAGGTGAGAAGGGAAGCAACTGCAGAGGAAACCCAATGTTCCCAACAGTGCAACCACATAGAGACAACCTCTCTGCCGCCTCGCCCTTCCCCCTGCTGGTAAGCAGCCGTGATGCTGCTGCTGGGACGCCAGGTACCTATCCCCACTTAACCCACTTGTCAGGGAGTGGCTGGATAATAATATAATAATAATCATTTATTATTTATACTCCGCCCATCTGGCTGAGTTTCCTCAGCCACTCTGGGCGGCTCCCAATCAAGTGTTAAAAACAATACAGCATTAAATATTAAAAACTTCCCTAAACAGGGCTGCCTTCAGATGTCTTCTAAAAGTCTGGTAGTTGTTGTTCTCTTTGACATCTGGTGGGAGGGCATTCCACAGGGCGGGCGCCACCACCAAGAAGGCCCTCTGCCTGGTTCCATGTAACCTCACTTCTTGCAATGAGGGAACAACCAGAAGGCCCTCGGCACTGGATCTCAGTGTCCGGGCTGAACGATGGGGGTGGAGACGTTCCTTCAGGTATACAGGATGAGGAGGAGTGGTGGAAGCTGCCTGACCAACCCCCCCCCCCGGAGAAGCTCGGAGGGAAATGATTTGGATCTTGGTGATGGGAAACCTGCCACACCCCAGAGCAGTGGAAGAGCTGGGAAGTACTAGAGTCTGGGAGCCTGGAGGAGGTTGAAGAGGAGGAAACAGGGAGGTTCCCCAGCAGGGCAGAGAGGAATCAGACTCGCTCAGACTCGTTCCACCACAGAGCCACCCTGACAGCTTCTCTGCTGACAACCAGCAAGCCCCCACTCCCAGAACAAGGCGTCTATTGCACTTTACGGAGCAGAGAGCCAGGCAGAAACAGAGATGGTCCCACAGGGAGGTTAGGCTGGCCTCGACCACAGCCAGGACTTTTTTGGCCGTGGCCCCGATCTGGTGGAACACTCTGTCACAAGAGACTAGGGCCCTGAGGGACTTGACATCTTTCCGCAGGGCCTGCAAGACAGAGCTGTTCCACCAGGCCTTTGGCCAAGGCACAGTCCGACCCCCTCCTTCGGTAATCCTCACAGAACTTTAGCCCAATGGTTGCCATGAATTTGATTTTGAATTGATTTTAGAATGGATTGATTTTAGAATGCTGTGTTACTTTTATTGTTGTTAGCCGCTCTGAGCCTGGCTTCAGCTGGGGAGGGCGGGATATAAATAAAAAAATATTATTATTATTATTAAGAAGAAGAGGAAGAGTTTGGATTTGATATCCCGCCTTTCACTCCCTTTAAGGAGTCTCAAAGCGGCTAACATTCTCCTTTCCCTTCCTCCCCCACAACAAACACTCTGTGAGGTGAGTGAGGCTGAGAGAATTCAGAGAAGTGTGACTGGCCCAAGGTCACCCAGCAGCTGCATGTGGAGGAGCGGAGACACGAACCCGGTTCACCAGATTACAAGTCCACTGCTCTTAACCACTACACCACGCTGGCTCTCAGTAATTATTATTATTATTATTATTATTATTATTATTATTATTATTACTACTACTACTACTCAGGCTTGCTGTAAACAGAGGAAGGGGCCTGACACAGAGGGATAAGGAGTGGAGGGGGGAATTAGAAAGCCAGTCCACTCAACTGCTTCATCTACACAGAAGCAACCCTTAGGAGTCTCTGTGTGTTCTCTGTTCTGCTTGCCTCATAAAGAAACTAACTGTAAGTTAGCCAGTGTTTACTATCTTTCTCTGATCTGCGAATGCCCTGTTCTCCTTGGCGGCTTCCTGACACCACTGGCCGCTCCTGGGCAGTAGGTGCCAGGCTGAGGCATAAGAAAGATGGAGACCAAAGATATGTAACCACTTGAAAGAAACAATTAGGCCTAGGATTAAAATGGAATTACATTTATAAATAAGAAAATGTACGATAAGGAAAGCTATGCAATATGATTAGGACTGTGATATGGTCTTTTGAAACACTGATATTGGAAACTGCTACATATCATTACTAAGAAATTCGGATGGAAGAGATTTGAGGAAGTCAAATACTATGTCTATGAAGATGGATGGCACTTAATTTTAATTAATTAAGTGGTAATATGTTGCATGTATCTTTTTTCTCTTTTTCTCCTATTTTTGTTTGTCTTTATTATTGTTAATCTTTTCTTTTTTATTATGTTTATTTACTGAAAATAATAAATATTATTTGAAAAAGAAAGAAAGATGGAGACCACCCACCTCAGCAGCGAGAGGCGAAAGGGTGGGCTTCCAACCCACGGAAAGGGAAGAAGGGTACGTACGGATTTCCTTGACCAGCAAGGAGATGAGGCCATCGTCAATGAAGATCCGTCCTCCGACTTTGATGACTTTGGGCAAGTTGACATAATCCAGCCATACGGTGTTCTGGTCGCAGCACTCCCGGAAGGCTGGGTCTGTGGTAACCACCACCCGCGATCCTTTCACCAGTTCCACTTCTTGGTCCACACCCTGCAGAAGGAGGCCACACCCACATGAGCAGTTATTTCTTAAGAACAAAGGGAACACCTTTGACTTTTAAAGCCCTATGCGGCCTAGGACCCACGTACCTACGGGACCGCCTCTCCTGGTATGCCCCGCGGAGGACCTTAAGGTCCACAAATGACAACACTTTGGAGGTCCCAAGTCGCAAGGTGGTTAGATTGGTCTCAACTAGGGCCAGGGCCTTTTCAGTACTGGCCCCGACTTGGTGGAACGCTCTGTCACAAGAGACTAGGGCCCTGTGGGACTTGACATCTTTCCACAGGGCCTGCAAGGCAAAGCTGTTCCGCCTGGCCTTTGGTTTGGACTCAGTCTGACCCTTATGTATCCCTCCCCTTATGGTTTTGATCTTTGGGCTACTATTAAAATGAGGATGCATTTTAAATTATATTTTAACCTGTATTTAAAATTGGTTTTTTTTTTTATTTTATTGTAATTTTACTGGTGTTAGCTGCCCTGAGCCCGGCTCCATCCAGGGAGGGCAGGGTATAAATAAAAATTTATTACTACTACTACTAAACTATTGATTAGGGCTGCAATTTTTTATTTCGGAACCAGCTGATTTTGCTCTGTCTGGAGTCATTGGGGATTGAACCCGGGACCTTCTGCATGCAGAGCAGATTGGCAGGGACTGGCTGGATGAGTAGTGATGCTGCCTGCCCAAGAGCCCCCCAGGGAGGACACAGAAGAAGAAGATTTAGACCCCGGCTGTCATGAATGAGCCAGCTCCCAGGGAAAGTTTGCAACCAGCTCCTAGTGAAGGGAATAGCCAGGAAGAGAGAGGGTCAACTGCAAGACAGGAATGTCAACGGATAGCAGAGTGGTGGAGAGTCAGCCGGCAGCTTGCCAGCACACCAGTGAAGGACAAAATCCAGGGGTTAGATATGAAAGTAGCTCAGAGAGCAGGAAGGACCATGGAAGTACTGTTTCAGAGAATGAGGAAGGGGTGGGGGCTGACCCCCTTAGTCAAAGGTCTAGGCCATGGGTAGGCAGACTAAGGCCCAGGGGCCAGATCCGGCCCAATCACCTTCTAAATCCGGCCCCCGGACAGTCCGGAAATCAGCGTGTTTTTACATGAGTAGAATGTGTCCTTTTATTTAAAATGCATCTCTGGGTTATTTGTGAGCCATAGGAATTTGTTCATTTTCCCCTCCCAAAATATAGTCTGGCCCCCCACAAGGTCTGGGGAACAGTGGACTGGCCCCCTGCTGAAAATGTTTGCTGACCCCTGGTCTAGGCGTGTGGGGGGGGGTCTTCAAGACAGAATACGTCACAAGAGGAAGTTTGGCTGTTTCCGGTCTCTCCAGAAACACCCTCCTTAGAAGGGACATCTTTGATTTATAGGTGGACGGCTGTGATGGCCGCTCCAGTGAACTCTGTTTTTGCAATAAATCTTCTTCTTAATTAAGTAAGCCCGTAGGGCCATGGTACCAAATAGTATGGGAAACAGCCCTACTAGAAAAATTAACTAATAAACTGAAACTGACACGGGGACAAACAGAAGAAGACACCTTCACCCCGGTATGGCTCCCCTTTATCACACACACAGCCCAACAGGACAATGACAATGATCCACCAACAGCATACAAATCAATATGGCTAACCTGATCCAAAACACCCACCCACCTCACTCACACACGAAAACAAAGATCACCACAGCCAATCACAAGCAAACAATCACACCCTAGGCCAACCCCAACCTCTCTCACCACCAAAGGAACACAAGTGAACAACACAAACAACGCTGACACCAAACTCTACACACATTAAACATAATAGAAACACCGCCACCCGACCCCACCCCCATCCATCTTCCCTCTCTCCACCCCCCCTTTTCTTCCCTCTTTCTTTTTTATTCTCCCCCTAATGCCTCAACAAATGAAATGGATTTGTAAAAATGTTACATGGAAAAAACAAACAAAAAACGAGGCACTACACTTCTGTAAAACAAGAAAATCCTTAATAAAATATTTAAAAAAAAAAATTAAGTAAGCCCGTTTGTTATCAAGACTCCCTGACACTGGGTCATGGTGGTGGGACACTGGGGAATAGTCTGGGGAAGGGACAAGCTGGGAGGTGCTAGAAAGAGCAGGAGTTTTGAGAGATGAATGGGGGTCAGGAGGAGGAGGCCCTTCCGGGACAGAGCTGGAGGCTGAGAGTCTCAGTGTGAGTGCAGACTCAGAGAGAGAGGAGTCAGAGGTTGCCCCTTGCTACCCAGCGGCAGGGCAGTCCCAGTCCTGCTGGCTCACCTCCCTCTCTGACACCCCACCCGAGGAGAGTCCTGCACGTTGCTGAGCAGCAGGCCAGACAGGAATACTACTACTACTGCTACTACTACTACTACTAATAATAATAATAATAATAATAATAATAATAATTTATTTATACCCTGCCCATCTGTCTGGGCTTCCCCAGCCACACTGGGCGGCTTCCAACAAAATATTAAAATACAGTAATGCATCAAACATTAAAAGCTTCCCTAAACAGGGCTGCCTTCAGATGTCTTCTAAAAGTCTGGTAGTTGTTGTTCTCTTTGACATCTGGTAGGAGGGCGTTCCGCAGGGTGGGCGCCACTATCGAGAAGGCCCTCTGCCTGGTTCCCTGGAACAGCCTAGTCTGTTATAACCAAGACAACCAACTGGCAAACATGTATTTCATGGGGCAAGTACCCAAATATAGAACCACTCATTCCCAATCTTACCCCTTTGACCACACCGGTGCGGATCTCTGGGCCTTTGGTATCCAGGGCAATGGCCACCGGTCGGTAGAAGAGCGGGTTGGAGGCAAAACTCTCCGTTGCTTTCCGGATATTCACAATGGATCCTGCATGGTACTGAAAGAGAACACAGTGGGGGGGGGGTCAGTGGATCCTTTCCTCATTCACTGAAGAAGGGGGAATCTGACTTCAGAGTCGTGGCACCCAACCCCTGAGCACAGAGCCCAAGGTGTAGATACGGATCTGAGTCAGGGCTCAGAGCTGGAGAGGAGGGGGGCCAAGACACACAGATGGGCAGCCCTCTCCCCCAGTTTCCCAGAACCAGAAGAGGCATGAAAAGGGTGAAGGACAGTTTGGCTTTGCACAGACACAGTCTCCAATTGCTTGGGGGAAACTCTGGAGAGGAGGGGGCTTAGGCAGCTGTGGGGAGGTGGGGACTCTCAGTCTCAGCAACTGCTGTGGGAATGTTCAGGGATGCAGGAGAGGATATATTGTCTGATTATATCCTTATCCAACTTGTGTTAAAAAGTTCCACAATTTCAGCAGAGTAACATTCTCTTCTTTTAAATTTGCAGCGGATGTGTTTTGCTCAGACTCGCTAAAGCCTCTATAATAACTGTTCTGGTATCTTCCCCTTATTCCCTCATAAAAGATAAGAGACAACACAGTCTTCTATAAAAGTATAAAAAGAGTTTACTCACATTCAGTTCACAATCAGATCTCAGAAGGCAGACTTAGCTTAATGAAGTAACAAACACTTGGCATCTTTGGCTTAGTAGATGTTGTTTCTTCGATGCATGTGGTGCAAGAGAGAGAGAGATGGCTGCCCTGCCCTGTGCTTTTGTCGTTACCTGCACAGGTGAGGCCACACCCATCTCTAGTCACATGCAGAGGAAGTCTGTCCCAGCCCAGGAGGAAACAGGAAGTTTTCCTGCTGGCTGGACAAACATTCCTCCCCATGTGCAAACATGTTCACTCTAGGAATGTTGTACTTGACTGCTCTTGTGTTTCACATCCTACAACTGCTTCATGGGGGCAAGACCTGCCAGGGACAAGTTGCTGCGCTCATTAGGCCTGACACTCCAGTGCAGATCCTGTTTTTGCTAATAAAGAGTTAACTCCAACTAGCTCAGTGTGATTTATTGCTGGCTGGCTCCTGTCAAGGAGGGAGTCTGGAGGCCGAGGCCTAAAACGCCTCAGTCCATGTCCTAGATTTGTTGGCGCAAGCGGCTCAACTCGGAGCTGTCCATTGGTTCAGAAACCTTCAGCTTTCCCCATGGGATCCAGCATCGGACCAGGACATGACACCCCACCCTCTTGGGGAAGGAAATGGCTTAATACTCAATACCTCGTGTGAGCCGTGCGAAAAGTTCAGCCGTGCAATGTTCATTCCAGCCTTGATCATCTCACGGAGCATTTCCACTGAGCGGGAAGCAGGGCCTGAAAGAGGAGACGGGGAGCATTGGGTCACTGGGACAAAGAACCGTATTGACACATCCTCCCTCAACTCTTGCACCCAATGTCACCAAGCCAGTGGCTAAAGTAAAGATAAAGGGACCCCTGACCATTAGGTCCAGTCATGACCGACTCTGGGGTTGTGGCGCTCATCTCGCTTTATTGGCTGAGGGAGCCGGCGTACAGCTTCCGGGTCATGTGGCCAGCATGACTAAGCCACTTTTGGCGAACCAGAGCAGCGCACGGAAACGCCGTTTACCTTCCCGCTGGAGCAGTACCTATTTATTTACTTGCACTGGTGTGCTTTCGAACTGCTAGGTGGGGCAGGAGCTGGGACCGAGCAACGGGAGCTCACCCCATCGTGGGGATTCGAACCGCCGACCTTCTGATCAGCAAGCCCTAGGCTCTGTGGTTTAACCCACAGCGCCACCCGCGTCCCTAGCCAGTGGCTACGTCCTGTCAAATGACCTAACTCAGTCTTTAACAGGAATCGTTCATTTTCCCCAAACGCCCCAGGGAAAGTGAGGGTGCTAAGTGTGCACATAAGTACATAGGGACCACCTTTCTGGCTGAATATCCTGTTTCCATGAACCCTGTTTCCCTTTCTCCAATAATTCTCATTCTCTGATTTGCTGCCTCTAGCTATGGACTTTCCATTTTGCTGTGCTGGTTAGCATTCCTCTTCTGCCTCCTCTTCTATCATCAGTTGGTCCGATTTTTCGCTTACAGCACCGCCACAGTTTGTGGCAGTAAATTCCAGGAGTTAGGGGTGTGTTGAGTGCGGAGGTATTTATTTTTGATGGCAAGGAATCTTGCCCCCCTCCCCTTAAATGAAAAACGTAAGAGCATAACATAAGAAAATAAGAGCCTGTTGGAAAAGGCCAAAGAGACATCTTGTCCAGCATCCTGTTCTCACAGAGGCCAACCAGATGCTTGTGGGAAACCTGGAAGCAGGATTCGAACACAAGACCACTCTCCCCTCCTGCAGTGTCCAGCAAGTAGTATTCAGAAGCATTAGAAGGCAGAGCATAGGCATCATGGCTAGCAGGCATTGCTGTCTATCTATCTATCTACCTACCTACCATCTATCTATCATCTATCATCTATCATCAATCATCTATCTATATCTATCTATCTATATCTATCTATCTATCTATCTATCTATCTATCTATCTATCTATCTATCTATCATCTATCTATATCTATATCTATATCTATATCTATATCTATATCTATCATCTATCATCTATCTATCTGCCTATCATCTATCTACAGTATATCTATCTATCATCTATCATCTATCTATCTATCTATCTATCATCTATCTATCATCATCTATATCTGTCTGTCTGTCTGTCTGTCTGTCTATATCTATCTGTGTGTCTGTCTGTCTATCTATCATCTATCTATCTATCATCTATCTATCTATCTATCTATCTATCTATCTATTTATCTATCTATATCTATCATCTATCTATCTATCTATCTACCTATCTATCTATCTATCTATCTATCATCTATCTATCTATCTATCTATCATCTATCTATCTAATCTATCTATCTATCTATCATCTACCTACCTATCATCTATCTATCTATCTGTCTGCCTATCTATCATCTATCTATCTCTATCTCTATCTCTATCTCTATCTCTATCTCTATCTCTATCTCTATCTCTATCTCTATCTCTATATCTCTATCTCTATCTCTATCTCTATCTCTATCATCTATATCTATATCTGTCTGTCTGTCATCTATCTATCCATCTATCTCTCTATTCTGCATCAAAATAACACACATTTCCCAGCAAGAAACAATCAGTTCTAAACCTGGATAAATTCAACACACACACTTATTTCTCATCCCTCCAGCATAATTTATCCTACCGTTTCCTATTTCGCAAAAGTGTTTCTAAATTTGTTAATCCCCAGGGAAGGATGATTCCTTATGCAGCAGACCAAACCTGACACTAAATACAGTGGGACTTCCGTTTTCGATCGCCTCAGAAGTCAAACATTTTGGCTTTCGAACGCCGAAAACCCGGAAGTAACTGCTTCAGTTTTCAAACGATTTTTTGAAGCCGAACCTGCCACACGGCTTCTGTTTGGAGTGTCCCTATTGTATTGAGGCTTCCGTACTGAGTTTTCGGTTTCCAAACGTTTCGGAAGTCGAACGGTCTTCCAGAACAGATTAGGTTTGAAAACCGAGGTTCCACTGTACTACAGAAATTTTATTGAGCTTGTGAGATTTCAACAGGCCTGGGTGCATGTGCACCCAGTCCTATATTCACAATTCGCTAGAATTCACTAGATTCCCTGCAGCGCTTCTGCAGGGCAGGCGAGAGAAGCACGTCAGCTATGGAGCGATATCATACCAATGGTGCAGACGATTCCTGTGCTGCGGGCGGCAATGGGCTCCGAGTCGATGTCCAGCAGGCAGAGGTGTTCCAGGAAGGTGTCCGCCATGGACGCCGGCAGCTGGTGCTTCTGGAAGAAAGCAGTGCCCAGCTCCTGGGTAAGGCTGGCCATGTCGTCTGGGAGAATCGAGATTTTACCTGCGTGCAGGGGGTGGGGGAAGAAAGAAGCACTCCTGAAGCAAGCTCTGGGCAGGAAGGCAGACAGACGCGTCACGGCAGCGCTTGCAGATCACGGCGCGGCCTCATGGTCAGAGCATGATGTGCTCTCCACACCCACCTCCGTTCCACCTGCTGGAGAGGCCCAGCCAGCAGCCCCTTCTACCCGTCCCTTCCTCCCCAGGCCTAGCCCAGACGCACCCTCCATCTTCGCACGCCTCCCTCTCAAAGCTTCCCGGCTTCCCTCCAGGCCCAGGTAGACTCTGCCCCGACCGCCAGGCCTCTAGGCCTCCCCTCACCCGGGCACCCCACCCCTCTCCCTGGTTAAAGAGTTACCAGCTCGGTTCTAAGTCCACAATGTCCGCTCAGTGGTTGGTGTACAAAGCCAGCAATTGCTCCCCATTATTATTGCTATTAAAGGGTGGCGCTGTGGGTTAAACCATAGAGCCTAGGGCTTGCCGATCAGAAGGTCGGCGGTTCGAATCCCCGCCACGGGGTGAGCTCCCGTTGCTCGGCCCCTGCTCCTGCCCACCTAGCAGTTCGAAAGCACGTCAAAGTGCAAGTAGATAAATAGGTACCACTCCGGCGGGAAGGTAAACGGCATTTCTGTGCGCTGCTCTGGTTCGCCAGAAGCGGCTTAGTCATGCTGGCCACATGACCCGGAAGCTGTACGCCGGCTCCCTCGGCCAGTAAAGCGAGATGAGCGCCGCAACCCCAGAGTCGGTCACGACTGGACCTAATGATCAGGGGTCCCTTTACTTTGTATTACTATTATTATCAGGTTCCAGCGGATTGAGCTGAGGAGACTGATCGCGGGTCCAACAGTCAAGAAGGTGATTTCTGTGCATGCTCTAGAGGGAACTGAGGGGCAGATGGGGCCTGGCAGCCTGTGGCTCCTAGACAGTGCTATTTTTCCACAAAAAGAGGTGTCGGAACGCACATAAACACCTCCCTCTTTCTCTCAGCCCACCTGAGAGGTGCTGGAACTGCGTTCTGGTGAGTTCCAGCTGGGGGAAAAGCTCTGCTCCTAGAAGCTGTCAGCATGTGACAGGAGCCACATCCCCGGGAACGGCTTCGACTGGCCGGCTAAAGCAGGTGAGGGGAGCCAATGGATCTCAAACCCTTGGTGAGTTAGGGAAGGTGGGAATCATCAACCTGGGATGGGAGCCCACCTAGGAGAAGGAAAACTCTGATCCTAAATCTCTCCTGCCTTGTGGGATGTCTTCGGGAGAAGAAAGGGCTCAGGGGTAAACCTTACACAAATCCACAGTGGACTCCCTAAGACGGTTGGATGGCGTCTTGTACATCTCCTTTGGGCAATTCCTGCAGCCAAGCTGGCGCCAAATGTGTTGCTCTGCTTTCCTTTGGACCACATCAGCGATGCTAAGAAGGGGGTCTTTTCATCTGGGCAGCCCAGGACCTCCATACACCCTGCCACGCTTCCACCCCAGAGAGCTCTCTTCAGTGCTGCTATTGCAGAGGTTTGACTTCACCCGCAGAGGCACACTCCATTGTCTCTTGAGACACACGGATGCCAACAATAGGCTATTTTATTATTACTATCCAGTTCTTCCAGACTGCAGCTTATTTTGGGGGGTGAGGTCAATCAAATACAGTGGATACCTTGGGTTAAGGACTTAATTCGTTCCGGAGGTCCGTTCTTAACCTGAAACTGTTCTTAACCTGAAGCACCACTTTAGCTAATGGGGCCTTCTGCTGCTGCCGTGCCACCGGAGACCGATTTCTGTTCTCATCCTGAAGCAAAGTTCTTAACCCGAGGTACTATTTCTGGGTTAGCGGAGTCTGTAACCTGAAGCATATGTAACCTGAGGTACCACTGTATTGGCTTAATGAAAGGGAAAGCCCATAGCTTGGTGGTAGAGCATTTGCCTGGTGTGCAGAAGGTTCCAGGTTCCATCCCCGGCCTCTCCGGGTAGGGTTGGGGGAGATTCCCTGCCTGCAACCCTGGAGAGCTGCTGCCAGTCAGTGCAGACAGCTCTGAGCTAGATGGACCTATCCTTTGACTCAGCTTCCTATGTTCCGCCATGCTTTCAACGCTGCTTAGTGCTCTTGCGCAGTAAACCTACCCTTCCCAGACTTCTTGCGAATGGTGAAAAAGTAACAGCATACACTAACACAGTCGTACCACGGAAGTCGAACAGGATATGTTCCGGAAGTCCGTTCGACTTCTGAAACGTTCGGAAACCAAAGCGTGGCTTCTGATTAGCTGCGGAAGCTCCGTCGGACGTTCGGAAACCAGTTCCAGTTTTGGATTGTTCGGGAGCAGGAATGTTCAACTCCCAAGGCGTTCGGGAGCCAAGGTATGACTGTACTGACATTGCCCCAGACGGTTCAGGAGGCAAGGTATGACTGTACTGACATTGCCCCAGACGGTGCAGGGAAATAAATAAATAAATATCGGATTATTTCAGAAAGTGCTAATTATGCAGAATTGCCTTACGGTGCAAATCAAATTCCCCGCCCACAGCTAGTCCTGAAAGGCTGTGCTATTTCTCTTCACATTGCTGCATTTTTTCACCACCAAGGAAGGAGAGAAATATTTGTGGGATTTTCCAGCTACCTTCACCAGCCTTGAGTGCTAGGGCATTGCATTTTAGACCTGTGTGCGTTGTGTAAAAGGGGAGCCGCTACAGTGGTACCTCGGGTTACAGACGCTTCAGGTTACAGACTCCGCTAACCCAGAAATAGTACCTTGGGTTAAGAACTTTGCTTCAGGATAAGAACAGAAATTGTGCTCCGGCGGTGCGGCAGCAGCAAGAGGCCCCATTAGGTAAAGTGGTATCTCAGGTTAAGAACAGTTTCAGGTTAAGAATGGACCTCCAGAACGAATTAAGTTCTTAACCCGAGGTACCACTGCATTTGCTCCATGATGACTCAGGCACGAAATATCCCGGGCCCAGCCCTGAATTGCTGTTGCCTAAAGGCCTAAGCTGCCTTCTACGGATACAGATTGGACCTGGCATCTTCAAATATCTTCGACTGTCGCAGGGAAGAGGGAGCAAGCTTGTTCTTTCCTGCTCCTCCGGAAGTCAGGACTCGAACCAACGGCTTCAAGTTACAAGAAAGGAGATTCTGACTACGCAATAAGGGGGAAAACTTTCTGATAGTCAGAGCTGTTTGATCATGGAAAAGGTCTCCCTCGGGAGGCTGTGGACTCTCCTTCCTCTGAGGTTTCTAAAGCAGCAGTTAGATGCCCATCTGTCCTGGATGCTTTAGCTGAGATTCCTGCATTGCAAGCGGTTGGACTCCATGATCCCCGAGGTCCCTTCCAAATTCCATGATTCTGTACATGCTAAGCATGCGCTCTCCCCCTGAGTTACAGTCCTTCTTGCCCTTGTGGTTCTGGAATTAAACAGGAACCGGGGAAGCCACGTTAGACAGACTCAGTTGGTCTATCTAGCTCAGAACGAGCTACACTGATGGTCAGTGGCTGTCCAGAGTTTCAGGCAGGGAAGAAGAAGAGTTTGGATTTGATATCCCGCTTTATCACTACCCTAAGGAGTCCCAAAGCGGCTAACATTCTCCTTTCCCTTCCTCCCCCACAACAAACACTCTCTGAGGTGAGTGAGGCTGAGAGACTTCAGAGAAGTGTGACTGGCCCAAGGTCACTCAGCAGCTGCATGTGGAGGAGCGGGGAAGCGAACCCGGTTCCCCAGATTACGAGTCCACCACTCTTAACCACTACACCACACTCCCAAGCCATACCTGGCGATGATGGAGATCTTTATGCAAAGCAGATGCTTTACCCCAAAACTTTTTCAGCAGGGGGCCAGTCCACTGTCGCTCAGACCTTGTGGGGGGCCAGACTATATTTTGAAAAAAAAAAAAATGAACGAATTCCTATGCCCCACAAATAACCCAGAGATGCATTTGAAATAAAAGCACACATTCTACTCATGTAAGAACACGCTGATTCCCGGACCATCCGTGGGCCGGATTTAGAAGGCGATTGGGCCAGATCCGGCCCCCGGGCCTTAGCTTGCCTACCCATGCTCTAAACCACTGAGCTCCCCAAAAGTAGACTAGGCCTGGGGCAACCTCCTCTGGAGATAAGAGCATCTCCTGCACATTCTCTGCCTCCGGACAACACCCCTGCAGGCTGACTGTGAGGCCTCGCAAGGGCCGAGCACCGGAGCAGGGCGGGAGAGAAGTTGTATACCCACCCTCCTTGCCGTTTCCTCCTTCAGCTTTTTTTCTGGCCTCTGCTCGCAGCTGCAGGGAGAACGAGGAAGAGAGGCTGTTTGGCTTGCGACGGCTTTAGGCCAGCCCCTTCAAAGTGGGGAGGCCTTCAGCCCAGCAGCAAAACCGGCAGCCACACCCTGCTGGAGACTGCGCCAAACAACCAGGCCTCACATCCTTCCTGAAAGGCTGCTTTTTTTTTTCCTGGCCCCAGGGCTAGATCTCAAGATTCCCGGCTGCCCCATGACAGCGGCAGCAGTTGCAACAGTTCCTCCTGTGTTTGCAACCGGCACGCCTCTGAATTTTGCAGCGCCTTTCTCTTGCAGAGTAGTGCGTACAATAACACACGGAGTAAGGAAATCAGAGCATACGTAAGTGAAAATAGAAGGGGGAGTATTACATGAGAGGAAACGGCTTTGCCAAAAAGCATATTAGGGAAATTTGCATTAAATTGTTGAGATGAATTTTGCACTAAATTGTCGGTTGACTTTCACGAAGATTCTTTGTTTTAAAGAAGAATATTGCAGAAGGACCTCAGACCCGAACCTGAGATTGGAAAAGTGAGAAAATGGAACTACAGCTCCCAGAATCCTTTGGGGGAAAGTCATGACGGTTTGAAGTGGCATCCTAATGCTTAAAAGCCATAGTATGAATGCAGTCTAAATGGCTCAAGTAGATTCATCTTCACCACAGCTTATTCTGGGAAAGCTGCAGAGCACCCACAAGTACAGTAGGAAGGGAAAAGGCACACACACAGCATTCTATATGACTGAGTTGGTAGCTTCTTGGCTCATAAATTCCCCCCCTGTCCCTAATTTCCTCTATCACATGGGTAGGCAAACTAAGGCCCGGTGGCCGGATCCGGCCCAATCACCTTCTCAATCTGGCCCGCGGACAGTCTGGGAATCAGCATGTTTTTACATGAGTTGAATGTGTGCTTTTATTTAAAATGCATCTCTGGGTTATTTGTGGGGCATAGGAATTCGTTCATTCCCCCCCCCCTTTCAAAATATAGTCCGGCCCCCCACAAGGTCTGAGGGACAGTGGACCGGCCCCTGTTCTATCAGATATAAACACTGGCACCAGCTTGGGATTATGGGTGCCCAGTGGCGCATGTAACGTGATGTCACATGACATCGCACACCCTGTGAGGCCTCACACATGACCTTCGCTCTCCCAGAAGTTGTGTCTGAGGCTCTGCAGGGTGGGTGTTGGGCACCCACACCAACAAAAAATTGTGGGTGCCCAGGACCCAGGAGTTGGTGCCAGGGGATGCAAATATGTTAAATAATCACAGCTTCCCCCAAAGAATCCTGGGAGTTGTGGTTTGTTAAGGGTGCTGAGATCCCCGTTCCCCTCGCTGAGCCCATAGTTCCCTGGGAAGAGGTTTTAATTATTAAAGCACTTTGGGAACTGTAGCTCAGAGAGAGGACTGAGGACCTCCCAGCAATTCTCAGCATCCTTAACAAACTACAGTTCCCATAATACTTTTTTGGGAGGAGCCATGACTGCTTAAAGTGGTATCATAGGGCTTTAAATGTATGGTGTGAATGTGGCCTTGGGAAGCCTTAAATTAATTCCATCAGCGAACTGCTGCTCCCTCTTGTGGTTGAAGCCTAAAGAGATTTCTTTCTTCCCCTCACCCCACCAAAACCATTTCTAGTCTACAGCTGGAGACCCCTCCCATAGCCCCGCCTTATTAGCTGAGCGCAAGGAGGTGTGGAAGAGAAATTTGGTTTGCTTTGCAATTTCCTACGAGCACCGCTAGGAACCACAAACAAACTGAAGCACAACCGTCCTTCTCTAAGTTTCGCAGTGCAATTCTCCCGCCAAAGAAGGCATACGAAAGGCATAGATTAGGTTCAAGCCTGCACATAAATTCCATATATTAGCGAAAATAACATACAAAATGCATTACACTAGGGGGGCTTGCTTTTTTCAAATATGCGTGTGAGAGGAGACGTTTGCTCTAAAATGCTGGCGAATTTTTGTGAGGATCTTTGAAAAGAAAAGAAAAGCAATCTGAAAATGTTGCGAACTCTGAATTTAAGGCCATATACACATTTCTAAATTCAGTTTTGCCTAATATACACATTTCTGCAAAGCATTTTTTTCTAATATAATACATTTTTGTATATTACTTTCATTACCGTAATGCATTTTTATGCACATTTAGCCCTTAGGTATGCATTATTGAATACAATTGAATTTGCAAAACTCAGAAGAGTGCAAATTTGATGAAGTGAACATGCGTGGGTTGAGTTGTTGAGCTTTTTTTAAGATTGAGGTTGTTGAGTTTTGGGGGGGATTTGACCCCAATTAATTTGTTGTTGTTGTTGTTGTTGTTTAGTCGTTTAGTCGTGTCCGACTCTTCGTGACCCCATGGACCAGAGCACGCCAGGCACTCCTGTCTTCCACTGCCTCCCTCAGTTTGGTCAAACTCATGCTGGTAACCTCGAAAAAACTATCCAGCCATCTCGTCCTCTGTCGCCCCCTTCTCCTTGTGCCCTCCATCTTTCCCAGCATCAGTGTCTTCTCCAGGGAGTCTTCTCTTCTCATGAGGTGGCCAAAGTATTGGAGTCTCAGCTTCAGGATCTGTCCTTCCAGTGAGCACTCAGGGCTGACTTCCTTCAGAATGGAGAGGTTTGATCTTCTTGCAGTCCATGGGACTCTCAAGAGTCTCCTCCAGCACCATAATTCAAAAGCATCCATTCTTCGGTGATCATAAAACCAGACTTTGGACATGCCTGACTTACATTTAAATGCAAACGGAACAACTTTCCTCCCCCATTACTAGCAGTGTCTGACTGAAAGTTGCCTTTGTTATAGGCAGTGGTTCAGGAATCCAAATTACCGGTAGTTCAGGAAGCTCTCTGGTGTGCCAGAACTCAGCACTAAGCAGGATTGCTCCCACCCATCGCCAGCTGCAAGAAGGAGTGACCCTTCAGAGTTTGGGTGTGCAAATTCCCCCTGCAGGGAGTTCTCTCGCACATTCAAACTCGCCACTAAGCAATAATTTGACATGTGGGCGGGACGTGTCATGGCACCGTGTGACTGACAGGTGGTTGCCCCACCCACCGACCCACCTGCCAATCTTGGTCTGCAAGGCTGGTCCTGATAAGGATCTGTCCTTCTGTAGCCAAAAAATATTTCCCAACTATACCATGTTGGGGATGAACTTGAGTGCTCTTGATTTTATGAGGCAAGGGGTGAGGTCCATCTCTGCAAACTGTACAGGCCACTTAGAAATGGCTAATTGATGGCTAATTAGGGAGGAATGTAGCAGTGTCGGATTTACATATAAGCTAAACAAGCTATAGCTTAGGGCCCCACTCTCTTGGGGGCCCCCAAAAAATTTAAAGGAAAAAATACAACTGGATGTACATTTCCAAAATATAAGATAAAAAAAGAAATAAAATAAAACCTACACACAGCAACAGTGTTTTGTGTTGTACAGTATAGGGTCCTATGATGTAGGACCCACCCATTAGTGGACTACTAGGGTGATATTGATATTATATTAAAAATGCATTGTATTAACTACAATTGCATTGTACAGGTTATAACACTTAATTTCATATTAATAAAGCTGATTACAATTATTAGTACTGTAGTTTGCATCATATATTTACACCTATTATTATTTCATGTTATAGCAAGTTTCTAGGGACTAGATTATGAATCTAAAGGAACTTTTGTTATTGCCAAATGCCAATGTGTTTGCATTATTAAGTTTGTTATGAATAAAAAAATCATTTTAAGTTAGAGCTTAACAATTATTTCACTATTAATATACTTCTTCTTAACTGTATTTCAGTTCAACAATTACTTTGATAAAATACATATTTTGTTATGTGCAAATGGCTTTAGATACTTATTATTTCCACAAATTTGTTTTTGTTGTTGTTTAGTCGTTTAGTCGTGTCCGACTCTTCATGACCCCACGGACCACAGCACGCCAGGCACTCCTGTCTTCCACTGCCTGCCACAGTTTGGTCAAGCTCATGCTTGTAGCTTCGAGAACACTGTCCAACCATCTCGTCCTCTGCTGTCCCCTTCTCTTGTGCCCTCCATCTTTCCCAACATCAGGGTCTTTTCCAGGGAGTCTTCTCTTCTCATGAGGTGGCCAAAGTATTGGAGCCTCAGCTTCACGATCTGTCCTTCCAGTGAGCACTCAGGGCTGATTTCCTTCAGAATGGATAGTGTCAGGAAACTGACATCGGAACAGAGTGGAGAGCCTAGGCTCCCCAATAATGCCGGAGAGGGAACCAGTACAGGGGTAGAGAGGACTTCCGCTGGGGAAGAAAGGCAAGGTGACACAAGGAAGAAAGAAGGTATTGAGAGCCTTTCGGAGGGGAGGCTCCGAGACTCTTCTAGTGAAGTCAGTGAGGAGAGTGGAGGACCACCGATAGGCACGCCCACTCTGCGCAGAAGGCTGCCGCGCAGAGAGGCTAGAAGAAGGCTGTCCGTCAAGGAATTTTTATGCTGGAGGAAGTTTAGGAAATGCCCACTGACGGATTCTGCCAGCGACTGAAGCAGTTGTGCCCAAGGGGGGCTGCTCAGCCGGGGGAAAAGGCAACCGCATCCAGCAGTTTGGAGCAGGCGGAGGTTACACACAAGCAACCCCAATTCCCATGATAGCAACCCGTCAGCCCTTTACGTTGCTTGTGTGAAGGAGTATAAGTGCATCGTCATGAGTCACACCGGAGGAGCCGGCGCAGGAGAGGGGGCCAAGGGAGAACCAAGTCTGGAGGAGAGAAACCGAGACTTGGAGCATCAACTGGCTGTAGTAGCGGCGCGGCTGGATGAGAGGAGGACTCAGGATGCCCAGGGGAAGATTACCCCCATCGCAAGGAAAGTACTGGGACTAGTGCAGAAGTTTGGGGGCAACCCCAAGGATTATAATGCATTTAAAACAGAGGTGCAGTACGCACTGGACCTGCAGTATGATGACTTTGCCGACGATGGCGGGAGAGTGGCTTTCGTGGTGGGGCACCTTGAAGGGCGGGCCCGGGATTGGGTCCGACCCTTGATGGCAGCGGAGAATGCTGCCTTGAAGGATCTGAGAAAGTTTTTTAGCGCCATGGACCACATGTTCTCGAGTGATGTGGAATTAAGTGTAACTCGCAAGGAACTGATGGGGTGCAAACAAGGGAACCAGTCTGTGAGAGAGTACTGGTCGC